GCAGATTGCGTGGCAGGCGCAGTACTTTGTGAACCTCCATGCGCAGATGTCGTGGCAGGCACAGCATAGTGAACCTCCTTGCTTCTCCGAACCTCGACGGGGAAGCTCCGCGGAACGACGGTCTCGTGTCATGGTCGGATCATGCCCGGATCATGCTCGGATCATGGGCGGAATCGTCCCTCCATTGTGATTAGAGTTTTCACTTGTTTCTTGAATTGCAGAGTTCGTGGCGCAGCACTCTGTGAACCTCCATGCGCAGATTTCGTAGCAGGCGCAGCACTTTGTGAACCTCCATGCGCAGATTTCGTGGCAGGCACAGCACTTTGTGAACCTCCATGCGCAGATTTCGTGGCAGGCGCAGCACTTTGTGAACCTCCACGCGCAGATTTCGTAGCAGGCACAGCACTTTGTGAACCTCCATGCGCAGATGTCGTGGCAAGCACAGCACTTTGTGAATCTCCACGCTTCTCCGAACCTCGGCGGGGGAAGCTCCGCGGAACGACCGGAACGACGGTTGCGACACGGTCTCGGGTCATGGTCGGATCATGCTCGGATCATGGGCGGAATCGTCCCTCCATTGTGATCAGAGTTTTCACTTGTTTCTTGAAGTGCAGAGTTCGTGGCAGGCACAGCACTTTGTGAACCTCCATGTGCAGATTTCGCGGCAGGCGCAGCACTTTGTGAACCTCCACGTGCAGATTTCGTGGCAGGCACAGCACTTTGTGAACCTCCATGCGCAGATTCAGGCGCAGCACTTTGTGAACCTCCATGTGCAGATTTCGTAGCAGGCACAGCACTTTGCGCAAACCTCCATGTGCAGATTTCGTCACAGGCGCACCACTTTGTGACTCTCCATGTGCAGATTTCGTGGCAGGCACAGCACTTTGTGAACCTCCATGCGCAGATTTCGTGGCAGGTGCAGCGCTTTGTGAACCTCCATGCGCAGATTTCGTAGCAGGCATAGCACTTTGTGAACCTCCATGTCCACTTTGTGAACCTCCATGCGCAGATTTCGTGGCAGGCACAGCGCTTTGTGAACCTCCATGCGCAGATTTCGTGCCAGGTGCAGCGCTTTGTGAACCTCCATGCGCAGATTTCGTGGCAGGCACAGCACTTTGTGAACCTCCATGCGCAGATTTCGTGGCAGGCGCAGCACTTTGCGCAGATTTCGTGGCAGGCCTCCATGTGCAGATTTCGTGGCAGGCACAGCGCTTTGTGAACCTCCATGCGCAGATTTCATGGCAGGCACAGCACTTTGTGAACCTCCATACGCAGATCTCCTGGCAGGCGCAGCACTTTGTGAACCTCCATGCGCAGATTTCGTGGCAGGCACAGCACTTTGTGAGCCTCCATGCGCAGATTTCGTGGCAGACGCAGCACTTTGTGAACCTCCATATGTAGATTTCGTAGCAAGCACAGCACTTTGTGAACCTCCATGTGCAGATTTCGTGGCAGGTGCAGCACTTTGTGAACCTCCATGCGCAGATTTCGTGGCAGGCACAGCACTTTGTGAACCTCCATGCGCAGATTTCGTGGCAGGCGCAGCACTTTGTGAACCTCCATGCGCAGATTTCGTGGCAGGCACAGCGCTTTGTGAACCTCCATGTCCAGATTTCGTGGCAGGCGCAGCACTTTGTGAACCTCCATGTGTAGATTTCGCGGCAGGCAAAGCACTTTGTGAACCTCGAGGTGCAGATTTCGTGGCAGGCACAGCACTTTGTGAACCTCGAGGCGCAGATTTCGTGGCAGGCACAGCACTTTGTGAACCTCGAGGTGCAGATTTCGTGGCAGGGGCAGCATCTCGAGAGCTGGAAGCTGAGAACTGGCGACTTTGTAGTGCAACTTTAGTATGCGGGGTAATCTGGCGAGGTGGAGGCTGAGAACTGGCGTCTTGATGAGAACTGGCGACTTTGTAGTACAACTTTAGTACGCGGAGTATCTGGGGAGCTGGAAGCTGAGAACTGGCGACTTTCTAGTACAACTTTAGTACGGAGCAATCTGTGGAGCTGGAAGCTGAGAACTGGCGACTTTGTACGCGGAGCAATCTGTGGAGCTGGAAGATGAGAACTGGCGACTTCGTAGTACAACTTTAGTGCGTGGAGTAGCTGGAGAGCTGGAAGATGAGAACTGGCGACTTTGTAGTACAACTTTAGTACGCGGAGCAATCTGTGGAGCTGGAAGCTGAGAACTGG